GTAAGTCAGAACTGGCGGTCAGTTTCAGCAGCGGCTGAATCTGGACGCCAGTTCCGACTTACATACAGATTCAACTTAAGAACAAACCTACAGTCCCTATCTTGTACGTAACCCGGGGACTGCCTGTACATCTTTTCATTTAAATATCCTTCAGAATAAAACCTTACACCCCCATTCTGCAAGCTGTTATACACACAAACCCTTTGTCCACTCATTCATCAGTTTCAGCAGCGGCTGAATCTGGACGCCAGTTCCGACTTACATACAGATTCAACTTAAGAACAAACCTACAGTCCCTATCTTGTACGTAACCCGGGGACTGCCTGTACATCTTTTCATTTAAATATCCTTCAGAATAAAACCTTACACCCCCATTCTGCAAGCTGTTATACACACAAACCCTTTGTCCACTCATTCATTGGGGTTCCATGAAGACACTTGACGTTAACAGAGTGAAGGATTGTAGCCAGAAATGTTAAGAATGCTCCAAATTAGAAAAATTATTATAAAAGTCAAATTTTCCCTTCACCTTTTTATTATTACTTTTTTGCAATCTTTCTCTAGACTAAGGGAACATGAAAATATTCCATTTCACTTTCTTCCTAATTAGTTTCACTTTCTCAAATGCAAGAACCGTGCAAGGCTTGGGTTGTAAAAGTGTAAGTAGTTTTTTTGATTAAACTGCTTCAATTGTAATTATTTGTAAAGGAACTTGTTTGTTACTGTTAAGCTTTTTAAAGCTCTCTATATTTGCAAGAAAAAAATTACCTGAATACATATACATCCCTTATGCCTCCTCCCCAATTTAAACAGTCTCATTTAGTTGTTCTAAAGAACATTAATGTTACTGCACATAAGAAGGGCCATACTGGGTCAGACCAAAGGTCACAATCTCCAGGAAAGTCTTTTCCTCTTCACACTCTAACTGAAGCAGCTCAACTGTAATATACCCTCTTTAGCAAATGCAACCCATAAAAGTGTATGCAAGGACTTCAGATAATGGTCTGTTCCTACATGTTTTCCTTTTAGGTGTCATTTAAAATGTTTAAAGGTTTGGGTTTTTTTTAATCCTTCCCCTCAGGAAAATCCTTCCAAAAATCCCTCAAAGTATAAATCAAATGTATAAAATAAAACCACCTACACCTCCCCCACCTCCTCCTCCTCAAAAAATAAAATTAGCAGCTGCTTGAATTTGATGGGTGACAGTTGTTACAGGTGTTAAAAGTAACAAGCGTCAAAATATAGTTATAAAAAATGATAATCCTTAAGCACAAACATATCAAAAAAGAAATTGAAACAGCTGTTTCTCAATTCCCTGTAACTTCTATTGAAAATAAATGAAAGACTATGTTGGGTGTGAAGGGGAAGAGTTGAGTCCCAAATACAGACTGCAACCATTCAAAATAAGATTCCTTCCTGTAGATGAGATGAAAGCTAAGGATGGAGAATTGTGTAAAAGGGCTGAGACCACAGGCCTATGCTCTCCCTGAAATAAGTAATACACAGGAGCCAGGAGCAGAAAAAAGCAGCCTATAAAACGTTTATAATATACATATATATCTATCAGCTTGAGTTGAATTTGACCTGAGTATTTGACTGCTGGGTATTGCATTTCCAAGCCCTTCCCTCTGCTCCACACTCACACTTTATAGTGAGCTTAGAATTTAATGTGGCAGAGAGCTCTAAGGAAAAGTAGTCTGCTCCCACAGAGCACAGAGAAGTCACTGAAGTTGTTTTGGTGTATGCAGCATCGCATGGCCAAAGTTTATACTAGACAGGGTACCTTACAGAATTCAAGGTGCCACTGATGCCAGGATTTTTTGTAGAAGTTTTTTCCCTCATTCTGGTTCCACCCATTGTCATCTGTGTCTTGGGACAGGGTGTCATGCTGCCTTTGCTATTTCCCTCATACCATTTCTAGAAAATACAGCAGTGTACAATGTACAGGTGTTATGTTAGAGGAAGTGCAGTTCTACAGCATTTGGACCTGCTTCTGACTATCAGTAAAACTATAACTAATAAAACTGTCAAATGTTTTTGTCTCTTCCGCTCCTCCCCCACCAGCTCTTGTTTAGGGAAGAGGCACGCATTTTCCTAGATCCATCTTTGTACTGTCTTGTTGATGTCCCCTTCCTTCACTGTGGTTCCAAGACTCCATTTTGTTTTAGAGTTGTATCTTTGCTGGGACTCACATTTGGATAGAGAGTAGAAAGTCATGACTGCTGCTAGAGCCTGTACAGGCCTTCCTATGGATTTCACAGCTCTACCTGGCTGCAGTTCATGCATCCAACACTACTAGTGCTGCCACCCTGCTCTCTTTACTGTTATAATTGTTCTTGGAACGTTAGAGGACAAGTTAGATTATGATCCATAATCCAATGTAAACAAAAAATATGGGAAACTGTTTGTTTTTTCCAGAAAATTTTAATATTTGGCATTTTCCCTCCTTTATTGATCACAGTGAAGTTAATGTTTATTTTTTGGAAAACAAATCTATTTCCATATGGTAAAAAATTCATCATTGTTTGTTTTAAACTCCACAGACTGAAAGAGCTAAAAGTACATTGTTAAAGTATATCTTTAAAAAAAAAAGTGAGTAACACAAAACTGGCCTTTTGGTAATGCTTCGTAAAAAGTCATGTACTTAAATGTATTTAAAAACATTTTTTAGGTAGATTCACTGATACAAATTTAAAATGACTTTCTTCTCTTCTTTTAAAATTGACATTTCATGAGTAAAGTGTGCTACCAAAGTGTGTTTGGGATTTAGAGATAATCCAGTGACTCATTAAAAGCTGAAGGAGGAAATAAACAGAAGAACATCAGAGGAATATGTGAGGTTTAGATACTGCAAATCCCTTCTGACACAGAAGGAAAACTGAATAACTTTACTCACTGATAAACCAAAAATAACTGAATAATAAAGATCAAAATAACCGTAGCTAAGTGCAGAACAAATAATTAGTGAGCAAGTCATCCTGACTATTCATTATACCCTTAAGCTTTACCATGCAAGTGTTCCTTTGAACATTTTTGCTTCTGTTGGGATTCTTCAAATTCTTCAAGTTACTGTGTATGTTTTCTTGCTGCTAGCTAAGAAGTACAGTGAGAAGCTGAATGCTGGAGTTTATTTTCTGCCATAGATAGCAAAACTTTTAGTTCCAATTAATACAAGTCAACTGCGTTAATGCACAGA